CAGCACCCACTGACATATGTACTCGTCACTATGCAATAGGATGCCCATCCCTATCGTCTCATTTAATCTCCCAGATAACCCCATGAAATCTGTGAAAATGAAAAATGAGATTCAAAAGGTTAAGTGATTCTTCTTAGCCCCCAGAGCTAGAGCACAGAGTGCTAGATCCAGATCGGCTGAGCTCTCTACTGTTTATTTAGTCTCTGGATTCAGGATTGTTTTTCTTTTCCTCCTGTAAAATGGGATGATTATCGGACTTCCTCTGTCAGCTTGCTCTGAGGATTAGATGGACTCATTCCTATAAAAAGCATTTAAATATTGCTTGGAACATAATGCGTACTCAATAAATGTTATTAGAATTGTTCTTTAGCAAAGGTAAGATGTGAATCCAATTTCTTCTCCAAAGCCCACATTCTTTTTAGTGACCATCACATGGGCAGCCAGTGAACTTCAGTATATCTGTCTGGGTGTCCACAGATGCATCATCTGGGGAAGGGGAGGCTGGCAAAATGAAGAAATTATGCATTTACTAAGAGCCTAATACGTTCATAGCACTGAACATATTGGCATCATAGGAAGAACTAAAGAATCATAGAGAAGCAAAAATACGTACATACATACATCTACACATGTATATGGATTTACAAGTCTCTGTGTGTGTGTGTATTTTTTTTTTTTTCCTGAACCAGCAGCTATAGTTATGAGCAAAGTGCTGGACTAGGCATTTGGGGGAACACAAATATGAATGCAACAGACTCTGTCCCACACGAAAAGGGAGACAAGCAGATAAATAATTAAGTGTGATAGTTGGCTTTGGGGATGTGCCCAGAGAAATTCAGAGGAAGTTTTATGAGTGACCAGAGGAGGGAGCCCCCTTCAGGATGGTGGGGGGAGGGGTATGGTGATATAACTGGCCCCTGAAGATCCTTACCCTAGATGGGTTCTCATCTTGTAGAAAAAAAAACATAAACAGGACACCAGGAACAAAGGAGGATCCTACCTAATCAAGTTCCAGATTCTACCAGACAGACAATGCTTGCCTCGGAATTCTGAGGAAAGAATAATCCTTCTGCCTTGGAGTAAGAAATAGGTGGGGCTCAGGCTATAGCTGAAAGCTGACAAAAGCCTCAGGGGCCATGAAATTTAGATCCTTGGAAAGGAAGAAAGGTTGCTCATTTAATGAGCTCCTACAGTGTATCACACAGCACAGCATCCTCAGGACAGCTCCGTGATAAGGTCACTGAGATCAGAGAAAATGAGTGACTTGCTGAAGGCCATAGGAACCCAGGACGGGGTGATTCTGAAATGCATACTTTGAACCAGCCTCACTCATTCAAGCCCTTCTCAAACTTTACGACTCCACTTAGATGTTGCCCTCCAAATTTCCAGTGAACCCTTATACCTCCTTGGCAAAATGCCTTGCTTTTAGTTACTACCAAATAAAATGAATATTAAAGGAGTATATCCTAAGAGTGGAGGAACAGTTCTTTTTGTTCTAAAAAGTAGTTTTTAGAATGAAATTCCCCAGAAACAAGGGGCCTTTTAGGGGCTGCGAGGGAATTGACCAAATATGAGATGATTAGATGGGAATTATTGCCATATTCCAGTAATTAGGGGCTCCATTACATTTCAGATTTGAAAGTGATCTTAGGAATCTTCGACTCCTGGCCTTTCATTTTACATAGGAGTAAACTGAGGTCAAAGAATTCACAGTCAGAATTAGAACTCAGGTCTCCGAACTCTCAGATGATTGCTCTTTGAGCACAAATGATGAAAGGAGACGGGCCAAATCCACGAGACATTAAGGGATGGAGTAAAAGAGGGATGGCAGCATTTGATACATTATTTGTTATATATAGATACATAAGAATGGAATGCATAAGCCAATGATAAGGGTGCGTCATGAACCAAGGGTTACATTTCATCCAGTTCTATTCGCTCAGTTAAAAACAAACACATACGTGCGTACACAGATACATACAGGCATAAAAGTAAGTGTGGCTTCCAAGACAGGTGGGATAGAATAATAAATGTATGTTCCATGAAGAGACCAGTGAAAGGCCTTGCCAATTGCTTCCAGCACATTTAGGGGCTGAGGTCCAGAAGCTCAAGGAGCTATGAGACTTGGACCTGTCCATTCCTTCCCATCATGCCTGCCACAGGACAGAAATGGTGACTTGGCCTCCCAGATTTTTGTTTGTCTTTAAGAACCTAAGGAGCACTTGGTCCTTGACAACAACAGTGGAATAACATGGATTTGTATAGCATTTTTATAGTTTACAAAATATTATACCCCAAAGTATATTTTAACCTCAAAACACATTTGTGAAACACATATCCCATTTTAAAGGTTCGGAAGTGCAGGGCTAGCTAAGCGACTTGCTCCAGATACATGGTGGAGTGAGTGGGACTTAGAACTATAAGTCCCGTGTTTTCACTCTTGGTGGGAGAGTTGACAAAGTCCCAAGTGTCTAGGAATATTCAAAACTATTGTATAAAATGACTTAGAAGCCCTTGGAAGGAGTACAGTTTCCAAATACCTAGTAGCCACAATTGAAGTGAATTAGTAGTCAGGTTCCAACCTCTGTTGAGAAAACAGGGGGATTTTGCAGGATAGAATATATGTAGTTCAATATAGGTCTTACTATTATTATTGAATGTCAATCTTATGACTTTTATAAGTGACTTGGAGCTGCAGAAGTGAAAGATTTGCCTAGGCAAATTCCTTATCCATGGCATTATGCACCAAAGATCATCTTCTTTCAGCCAGTCTCTGGAAACATATTTAGGATATAATGCCATTTTCATTTTATAACTGGAGAAGCTGATTTCACACATTCTTAGTCTAAGACTATATGGCAAGTTCTTCCCAAACCAAGATCTGAATCTGGGATCTCCCGTCTTCAGAATGGTGCCATAATCCCTGCACACCACATTCCGGCTTTTATAGGGGATGTCTGAGTCATTTGCTCATCCTACAAATCCGCATACTTTCACCAACACATATTCTCCACCGGTGTTCACTCTCTCTGAAGCATGCAAGAATGACCCCAGCTCTCAGGCAGGGTCTGGAGCAGCCCTGAGGACAGGAACACATTACAAGGGAGGAAAGTCGAGTTACTTCTTCCAGCTCACTATCCCCATGGAAACCTCACACAGCATATTTTTATCACTACATTATTTGAACAGACCGGTAACTAATAATTTGTAATCCACCACTGCTAACTCATTTTAACTTATTAAACACTTGGAAGGGAAAAACAAAAACAAACAACAATAAAAAGAAAAAAAAAAAAAAAAAAAAAAAAAAAAAAAAAAAAAAAAAAAAAAAAAAAAAGAACTGTTTTGCCATAAGGGGGAGCCTTTGAGTTCTACAAAGAGGGGGAAAAAAAAAGAACAAAAATATATTACATATATGTCCCAGTTCAAAACAGATCTACAAAGCAGCCAATGGTTAGATCCTTACCTGTGACTTGAACAATGTCAGAGCACCTGAATTTCTTAGGTCGAAAAAAAAGGCAAAATAATCTTTTTTTTTTTCATTTTTATGTAAAAATAAAATAATTTCTAACAACCAACAGAATATTTTTAAGAGTATTCAGGAGTATTCAGAGACCTAGTTGTGCTGAGTGTACAGCTTCGGGAAGGCAAATGCCTCAGAAAATGCCTTTCCTGGTTGCTTCTGATGATTCAGTGAGGACTTTGGGACAACATTTGGACTAGCTGAAGCCAGAAGCACCCGGGGCTCAGAGAAGAGGGGGACGTTCATCATTGTATAACTTTAAGGGAATTCTGAGAGGGGAAAGGAGAAAGGGAGAAAAGGAGAGGGAAGGCAAGAGAAGGGAAAGAAGAAGGGAA